CATCTTCTCTGATGATCTTTGTTCTTAACATACCATGAGAATAGGGTCTTTTAACTAGTAGAATGAAATTCGTGCACAATACTTTTCATATTCAAATTACTTCTTATTTAAGCATCTTAGAAATCTGTACTGGCTTATAATGTTCCTGCTAGAATAACTCCACAGTCCAAACCAGAAGGCTTTATAGCTGTCTGTCCCAAGTTCTGCTTTTTTTGTTGTTGTTGTTGGAGTCTCACTCTGTTACCCAGACTGGAGAGCAGTGGCTGGGAACTACCACGCCAGCTAATTTTTTGATTTATTGTAGAGACGAGGTCTCACCAAGTTGCCCAGTTGGGTCTCGAACCTGCGGGCTCAGGCAATTCACTCACCTTGGCCTCCCAAAGCACGGGATTACAGGCTGAGCCACTGAGCCCAGCCTGTCCCAAGTTCTTAAAAGCCCTGCTTCACAGGGAAGATTCTTAGGCCTATGACCCCATTCACCCTTCCCTACCTCATCAGTTAGTTAAAATTTCCAAGAGGAATTAGCTGTGAAATCCTCTGGGTGCTTCTCCTCAGAATGTGTGTAACTTACTCTTTTAGACTATGAGGTTCCAGAGGGCAGGGGACCAACCTCAGTCTTATTTATACCTTACAGCATCCAGAATTGGCTTTTGCATACACCTGACAATAAATAAATGCACCTGACATGGTGATTACCTGTGAGGATCTGATGGTGTCGGAGAAAGCAAGACTGTCCCTCCTATCCACTCTGTTAAAGCAGTTTTATTACATTAGCCACTGACTGTTATTGTGCTTCATAACTCTCTTATTCAAACATCCAAACACCTACTGACTGCCTGGAATTGAGTTGGGGGCAGGGGGTGTGGTGGTAAGTAAGACAGGCACAGCTCTGTTCTCGCAGGGGAGGAAAAACCCAACCAAACACATTACATAATTTCAACAAGTATGACATGCGCCCCTCACTGAAAGGCATCTGGGATTATAAGAGGGACATTGCCAGCAGAACCTGATGTGGTCAGGGCCAAGGAAGGCTACTAAGTGACCTTTGCAGTTAGCCTAGCAAGGATAGGGGAAAGGGCATGCAGACCATGCCGCGAGGACCCTTTAAGCCCAGCTGAAAACTTAAAGCTTAATAAAAGCCATTGAAAGGTGTTAGGCAAGATAATAATATGATCAGATTTGCCTTTTTAAAATATTATTCTGGAGATGGGCAAGAATGGATGCAGGACCCTTCACAGAGTATATCCAGATTATTGAAAATTAATCAAAGTTTCTTTGGTCATCATTTCAATAGCAACTGAATTTTTTTTCTTTTTTCTTTTTTTTTTGAGTTGGAGTCTCACTCTGTCACCCAGGCAATCCTTATGCCTCAACCTTCCAAGTAGCCGGAATTACGGGCATGCGCTACGACACCCGGTTGATTTTTTGATTTATTGTAGAGATGAGGTCTTGCTGCCCAGGTGGGTCTTGAACCCATGGGCTCAGGCAATCCACTCACCTCAGCCTCCCAAAGGCGTGGGATTACAGGCTGAGCCACCGAGCCCGGCTGGAACTGAATTTAAGAATATAAAAGATGTCCACGACCACAAGATCTGAAAGGCAGCCACATGCGAGAGTATTACTCTAATACAGGGTACTCTCAAAGTCCCTCAAAGATCAACTTTCACGGATTCTACTGGCCTGTGCCTGTAAATCTGTTACTTGACATCAAAGCAACCCTCGTTCAAACCAGATCTTGCTAATTCAGAACCAGCCTCCAGCTCTGCACACCGGTTGGCCCAGCCAGCCCCTGGGGTCCCTGAGAGACTGAGTAGACAAAGTATTTAGCAAACTGCACTGAGTGTGAGAATATTCATTTTGTTCTTCTGTGCCCAAGGACTGAGCGCCTCCGGGTGTTTGCCTGACTCCTGGGTTCTCCTTCTCAAGAACACTTGAGTTCTGAACAATCATCAAACTTGACCAGCTACATTCCCAGGGATCTATGGCCAGTGTCTGCTCTCAGGGACAGAAATTCATGGAGGACAGAAACTGTACCTGTCATAAGCAATTAAATACAGATGGTCTAAATTCTCTGGAGTGATGATATGAAATTTCATTCTGTTCTGGACTCTATGGGTAACGCCTATTTATATTTGTATGTGAATTCCCCATATAAAATTGCTTTTCTAACACCAACCTTGAAGTGCTGGATACTGCCCTTCACTGTTCTCTTGGGTGGCAGATGGTCATTCAATACTCGAATAGTCACAAAAATCACTGCTGTCAGCTAATTAGCACATTCAATATTCTATTAAAAATATGTCATTTAAAAAATTCAAATCTCCCCAATTACCTCCTCCTTTAATTTGTTTTAGTAAAATAAAAGTAAGTCTCCTATTATTTTTTTTTCTGAATTTCTATTGCACCCACTTTGAAAGTGAAGGAAGCTTTTACATCTAAATGAAACCGAATCTATTCTTCTCAGAGGCAGGATTGCACAATGGAAAGTATACGGACTTAGGAGGTAGTCAGACCTGAGTTCCAACCCCGTCTTCATCCCTTCTGAGGTGTGTTACTAGAAAAGTTCCTTAAGTTCTCTGCTCACTTGCCTTTTTTTCCTGTACAAAGTAAGGCTATCCTGCTTTTCTAGAGCTGCCATTTCCAATTACCACAAACTGAGTGGCTTGAAACAACAAAATATATTCCTTCAGAGTTTAGGATGCCAGAACACTGAAATTAAGGTGTCAGCAAAGCTGGTTCCTTCCAGAGGCTCTATGGGAGAATCCTTCTTTGTGTCTTTCAGCTTATAGTAGTGGTTGCTGGCATCCCTTGGCTTGTGACGGCATAGCTCCAACCTGGTCATTTGTCACATGGTCTTCTTCCCTTTGTTTCTCTGTGTCCTCTCTTCCTCTTATAAAGACACCAGTCACAGATGAATCCAGGATGAATTCATCTCAAGATCCTTAACTACTTACATCTACAAAGACTATATTTCCAAATAAGGTCACATTTTAAAGTTCTGGGTGGACCTGAATTCGGGGAGTTATACCACTCAGTCCACTACACCTACCTACGACAGAGCATAATTCCATTATACTCGGCAAAACTGATGAATACTAACTGAGAATTTGTGTTTCAATGGGTTTTGAGTCTATTTTTATATTCTAAATTATTCAATTGTGTTTTATTTTTATCGTAAGAAAAAGTGGTTACTTTCAAAGATGAGACTGTACATATAACTAGCCCTGTACCTAACATGCATTAGTGCATAATACTATGTTTTCCTCCCATTCTTATATTTATCTGGGTCCTACAACAGTGAGTTATGAGCACAATTTATGTGAACATTCCAGGAACTCGTGGAGTACTTCAAGGCTCTATGCAAAGAAGAAGACAAAAAATCTTACCCCTATACGATGTTTTCTTGTGGTGAAGCAGAGTGGGCAGTTCTCTCTCAGAACTTGACCTATGATAGTTGTTTAAGTACTAAGAAGTAAATATGCATCTAATAGCTCTCAGTGGAATGTTACAGTTACAAAGAACGTTCGGGGTAAAAATTAGACACTTGATTTTTGCTGTTCTTTGACTCATTTTGTAATCATTTAAAAACGTACCTAATCCACTGTCAGTTAAATTCCTGCTTCCTAAAGCTTACCACATGTTCTTCTATTCTCCTCCCTCACATAACTTTATCTCTATCATGTTTTAAGAAAGGGAAAAATTCAGCCGGGCGCAGTGGTTCACATCTATCATCCCGGCACTTCGGGAGGCTGAGGCGAGAGGATTGCCTGAGCTCAAGGGTTCGACACCAGCCTGGGCAACTTGGTGATTAAATTAAAAAATCAGCCAAGTGTGGTACGGTGTACTCCTGTAGTTGCAGCTACTTGGAAAGTTGAGGCAGAAGGATCACTTGAGCCCAGCAGGTCGAGGCTACGGTGGCCATGAGTGTGTCACTGCACTCCAGCCTGGGGGACAGAGTGAGACTCCAACTCAAATAAAAAGAAGGGGGAAAAAATCCAGAATGTTGTTCTCATACCGTTTGATCCTCTTCTAAGCAGCAGCTATGCCGCCGGTCATGGGTGAATAAAGAAGGAAGGAAAACGGCAGCTGGCAGCAGGGGGCAGTAGAGAGCGAGTCAGCACTTACTGTCTCAGGCTCCAGCATCCTCTCCATCCTCTCCTCCCACCGCGCCCCCCTTTTCTTACCTCTTGCCCACTACAGCTCAGCCTCCAAACCCACTGGGGCTCAAATAGTTGTCTGCTCCATCTTCCCTAGGACCGCACAAGACATGGAACCCCAACCTCAAACTCCCAAATAAGCTAGTCTCAAGAGTAAGTGGTGTATCAAATAGGCATACATCTCACTTAACACATTCAGGCTTGTTCCAAGTTCCTACACTCTGCAGTTAGGAAGCGATACACAGGAAGAGCAGTGAGGAAGTCAACAAGGTAGACTGCCTACAGAGACTACCCCAATTCCGATGATCTCTAGTACAACTCCTTTTTCTTAGAGTACAGCAGGTTAGCAGGAACACTGATCTGTGACATTGCTTGGAGAAGAATCGGAATCAAGAACATCCCTCTGAAGACTTCAGGATGTCCTGTGAACAGAAATTCTTTGTATTTCACCAAAACTATGCACCTTCCTACTTTTTCACATCTTCTGGGAATTATTACAACTTATATTAAAATAATCCCAATTTTTTTTCCTTACCATCTCTTGAAAATTAAAGGTCAACTGATAATAGATTATAGCTTCTTTGATAATATGCGTCACCCAAGCTGTCCACACAGACTGTTTGCTAAATACACCACAGTCACATTAAATGCCACAGATCATCCAGTTACATTAATGTGAACTTTAAAAAAAAGCCCCTCTTTTTACAAGAACTACAAATGATATCGCTAACCTTCAGAAAAGAAGACCAAGGAAGCAGAAACAAACCAAACTTAAAATGCCTGTCAAAGGAAAACTAAAAGTTACCTGAGTGGGTCCTTTGAGCATATAAGATGATTCCTTACCTGGATTGGGTTGGAGATATTCAATTGTTTTAGTCATTATTTCCATAACAGCCCTGCTGGTGACATCCACTTTCTGAAATAAGAAAATAAACATTCGAGATGACATACTTTATTCTCGTAATGTTTGCTTGAGTCTGTGTATGACCATGGGTAATGCAACAGAGCAGTGACAAGTCCTGAAGCATGACAGAGACACCAAGGAGCAGCTAGTCACTGTGGCGATGTATTCAGCGGTGTTCTACCAAGATTTGAAAAGCCTATCTATTCAAAGAGGAAGCTGGGAGTTCCCTAAAATTTGCTTCAAAATAGACTTCATCATCTTCAAAAATAAGGCAGGAAAAATGAATTCTATTTTTCTCCCAGAAGCATTTACTGGATGCCTACAGTGGGTCCGGCATGGTGGCAGATTTTGCTGCCCTAAGGGAAGAATAATGCAGCAATGCAGCATCAACTGTTTATTCAAGTCAGAGAGGAAAAGTTGTTATTTAACTTCTGAGGACATCCTAAGGATATAAAATCTTGAGCAAACGCTTCTAGTCAGTCCTTGAAATTTTAGTTAATTCTAAGCAAAAAACTTACAACATTCTGAATGGTCAGTGTTTGCCTTTGGCATCTCACCAGGCCTCTCTTCCCACAGGGAGAAGTGATGGGAGCTGCTCAGTGCAGTTCCATCTCTCTGTCTCCCTCCATGAAGTCCTTTTCTTATCAACATGAGTGGTCAGTTCACTCATTTACTCTACAGGGGAAATGATAGTGAGAATAAATGCTACCTCTTAGCCAAGGTATTGGATATGAAATGTAAGACATAAGTTTGAGTGAAAGCAACTAAGTTTTAACATGGAGATTAAGTTATCAATCAAATCTACGGGGAAGGTTTCTAGCTTTTTTACTGGAGTTCAAGGGCTCCTCCTTCAAATTTAAGAAATGTACCCATAACCTATTGCACTGACATGTAAAATTAGCCCTGCATGAAGTAAGCTGCCTTCTCTTCCAATAATCCACCCATTAAAAGGTTTTATTTTTCTGTTCAGTTTTTCAATACATAATAATGTCATTTTACTATGAGTGTATGCTAGTATTAGAATCAAGAGGAAATACTTTTTTTTTTCCTGTGAGTTATCATGGTATTTCAAATGTACCCACCTACATATAAATTCTATACAATATCCTTTTGGTTGATTCAAATTTTGAGGGTGTTTTAGATTTGAGTATATGCTAGGAGGTGATTAGTTTTAAACTGAATAGTGGCCCCCCTGGAGTTATGTAGTGTACAACTTGTACAGCCAGACATGAAGATTCTGGTAGTATTAGCACATGCCAATCAACCATTATGTACTCAAGCAACAAAGTATCTTATGCCAAGGAAATGGATTCAATGGTATGTACAAAAAAACATACTGAAACTCTATTGTATGTTGTGTGACAGGAGTATAAATGCAAATCTCCAACTAACAATATAACAGAGATTTAGGAATTAGATGTCAAATGTATCCAAACATCCTGTGTGGCTATGATGGGAAGAAAAATAATTCCAAAAGTCAAGGTGTCAAGAAAGAGTGCCACAAGAATTGAATTGTCCAATGACCATTTGACATCCTGATATCATCTACTACTAGGAAACTGACCAATTTCTAATTTTTCCCCATCTCTGTCCTTGACAATTAAAACCATCATCCTTATAAGGTGTTTTCTATTTGTCGGAAAATGTTCAAAGGGCTATAAATATCTTTGCACATTTAATGCTCACAAACCCTATAATGTAGAGAGGAAACACATACAGAGAGATTAGCTTGGAATTCTGCATCACCCATATATGCAAGGACAAGAGAAAATTTCAGGATTTGGCTCAGCTACTCTCTCTTCTAGGAAACTTCCACTGACCTACTCAGCTTGAGTTAGGCCTCTCGCCTAGGTCTTCCATGGCAAACTTTCCCAGTTCACCAGGCACTTATGTCCTGTAAGCTACTGATTTCTGTACTTGTTTTTTTTTTCCATAAAAACTGGAAGCCCCTTGTAGGCAGAGATGGAGCCTTCATCATCGTTGTATCGCAGGCACCCAGCACAATGCCTAGCACGTAGAAGAATTTACAGATTTTCCGAGTGAATTAATAAGTGTAACTACACACACACATACACACACACACACACACACACACACACACACACACACACACTCCACAGAACCACTGCAGCAACTGATGATGAAAATTTGAGAAGGAATCAGATGCCCCTCAAATTTCAAAACTTCTTAAGAAAATAAACTTTAGCTTTTCAACTAACAAATCCACTCTATGTCTGCACCACAGTAAGAAATTTAGTCTGTGTTTAACAAAGCTAGTAAGCAACAGATAGCATGTAAAACTAAAACAGATAAAATCCCATGCAAGGCAGCTCAGAGAAGGAGAGAAATCACCATAAGCAGGGATCCTACAGCGACAACACAGCTACAGGATTCTACCCCATCAGCTCAGGGTAGGGAGGGTGCAAGGCTAAGAGACATACATGGTAATTTTACCGCATCTCAGCAGGAGAGTGGCTGGAGCAGCTGATTAGAGAAACAGCTCTAGGAAAAGCCACTTCTCTCTCCCAGCAGTGCAGCTTGGTGCAAACCTCTAATTTATTTCATTTTGTTGTCTAATTGCACCTCTGAGAACACAGCTGAACAAAGGTCTCTCTAATGCAAGTGCCTGATGAATAGAAAGCCAGCTAGGGAAAGGTGATTCCTCCACAGGCCTGGGAACGCTGAGCTTTGTGAATAATAAACAAATTAACAGGAGAGAAAAGATTCGAGAGTCGAAATCCAAAGCAAGTGCTTTTCAATTAACACTTTTCAACTAGAAATCTCATACTATAATGTAAGTTTAGTATCAGTAAAGTGTATGAAATTTTCAAAAGAGCCACAGATAAAACAAAAGATGTGCGGAATAAAACAAATTCTGCACTGCACTGAGATCTAAATATCTCAATTTACTTAGGTAAATAGGTATAAACCCATATGCAAAACTATGGGGATGTTCTTCAGACAATCAGAAGTTTCCTTTGTTGCAGGAATATCATATCTAGATTTTGAAATAAAAGTTTCAGAAACTTTTCTAGGAGTTAGGAGAAATAAACCTTATATTTTGCTTTCAGACTCAGAGAAATGTCTGCTGGCATTTGCCTAAAGTAAAATTCTTGTGAGATCCTTTTTTTTATTTCAATTAGTTTGCAAAACTGGCATGCATATAATAGCAAAATAAGCCTCCAAAGGCCTAATTAGTTGCTCGGTGATACATTCTAATCAGTCCCCCAAATTTCCCATTCTTTTTAGTCTCATCTAAGAAGCAGAAAATCAGTTTGTCTTGGCTTTGACAGTAAGCTACCTAGCTTATCCCCCTTAAAAAGCTAGAGTTATTAAAAGATGCTGAAAGCAAGAGTCCCGTTCTGACTCCTGGTACCTACTTCCAAATCTTAAAAACCTGCTTAATCTGTCATTAAGGACATTACACTGGCTACATGGCATACTACAAATGCCCTCCTGAGAAGCGGGGAAAAGAGGGGCACCGAAGAGCAAGCGGTGATCAAACAAGATTGGTGTAGAGGGAGACGGATGCAAATGAACAGACCCACAGGGCTGCTCATAATGAGAAGTGAGGGACTCCAGTTTAAGGGAGTAGAAGAGTCAAAGGTGAGTCATTCTGGGAATAGGAGTCAGCGACTGGAGACTCAGATACTATAGAAAAAGGATGGGTACAATATGATTTTCAGAACTATGACTACCAGTGACTACCAGCTTTGGTTGAAGATCAGGTGGTATTTAGAACCATCCTGAGATGAGAAATAGGGAACCAACGCCAACTTCAGTCCAGTCTAGGCAAGCAGCTGCCAGGCCTCACGTTTAAGAGGCTGGCTACCCAGACTTCTGACTGGCAGTCAGAACTCTAGAATTAAATCTTTTCACCAGTGGGTGCCCATCAGCGAGGCTCATCTCAAGAAGTGAGCCGAATGACCAGCTGGACCAACACTATACAGTCTAATTTCACAAGACTCCTGACTCTTAGCATTTTCTTTTTGTTGTTTTTGTTGTTGTTTTGAGTTGGAGTCTCACTCTGTTGCCCAGGTTGGAGTGTAGTGGCACACTCACGGTCACCCCAGCATCGACCTGCTGGGCTCCGGCTATCCTTCCACCTTAGCCTTCTAAGTAGCTGGAACTACAGGCATGCACTACCACGCCTAGCTAATTTTTGACTTTTTCTTGTAGAGACGCGGTCTTGCCAAGTTGCCCAGGCTGGTCTCGAACCCCCAGGCTCAGGCAATCCACTCACCTCAGTCTCCCAAAGTGCAAGGATGACAGGCTGAGCCACCAAGCCCGGCCTGCCACTCATCTTCTTTTTTTTTTTTTTTTTTTAGTTGGAATCTCACTCAGTCACCCAGACTGGAGTGCAATGGCTGCTCCCGGCCACGGCAGCCTCGCCTGCTGGGCTCCAGTGATCCTTCCGCCTCAGCCCTCCAAGTAGCTGGAATTACAGGGATGCACTACCATGCCCGGCTGATTTTTTGATTTATTGTAGAGATGAGGTCTCGCTGCCCAGGCGGGTCTCGAACCCGTAGGCTCAGGCCATCCACTCACCTCAGCCTCCCAAAGGCGCGGGATGACGGGCTGAGCCACCGAGCCCGGCGCCACTCATCTTCTTTTCGGGAACCCAAGTGTTCTCTCTGGCCTGCTTGCATGCTGTTTCCTTTGTAAGAATCACACTGGTCCTGCTAACTCTTACACATCTTCACTTCATGATCAGGAAGGTCTTCCCTGACCACTCTGCCACCCTGTGTGGGTGAGTTTTCTCTGGGCCAGGCTTCTCTAGTACTATGTTTTGTTAACCTTGCCATACCACATGCCAGTCATTACTTGTCCCAAGTCTGTCTTTTCACTAGACTATAAACTTCTTATGCTCAGGAAACTTGTCTACATCCTAGATGCCTGGATCATAGTAAGCATAAAGCAAATACTTGTTAAATTCATCCATGAACTCGTCAGGAGAAAAACTGAAAAAGATGAGGCAGAAAGCACCTAGGCTTGCATCATCTGTTTAGGTACAGAATTTGTACTCCCAGATCCATTACCCATGAGCTGCTTAACACCTAAAATACTTATTTGCACAATGCAATACATGCTTTTTATCAGAAGCCTAAATATCACCTGCTATGAACGGCCTTAAAGAAAGAAAAGCAAACGAGAAAATATGGCTTATTTCCCAAGAGAAGTGAAATTGGAATAAGATATTTTGTTTACCATTTCCACCCTCACTTGGTGAAAATCTGTAAAATTTCAGGCAAAATGCTAAATGATTTACAGTATTTTAAATCCTTAATAAAAAATTCTCTAGGTGGGTATTAGTATTCTCATTTTACATTGATAAAAAAATAGAGGTTCTGAACAATAAATGGACTTTCACAACAAGTAATAGAAGTGTATCTTGGACCAAGGTCAGATGGGCTCCCAAACTGTATTCTCTCCAATCTACCCAGCTACCTCTGGATGATGCTGTCTAGTCAGGAAAGTCCTTGAAAGCCAGAAAGTGACCCAAATGCTCCCTAGAACATTTGGGATGTCATTCTGCACCTTCTCCTCGTTTCTTGCCACCTCACCCTAATTCAAACATCTGCTCCCCATTGTCCTTAGTGGAAAAGTGATTATAAAATCCGCCAGGAAAAGTGCATGACATGTCACCTTCATTGAGGTTTTGTTCTCAGGACAGTACAAAGGGAAGACAAGATATTTTACATTTTCTGTTTTAAAACATACATTAAAAGAAGAGTATTTTTTAAAATAACCAAATGTTTTCTCAGATACTAGTGGAGAACAGTTACCCCTTCCCTTTTTCTCTTCTCCTCTTATTATGGTGAACGATTTTATGTCAAAGGGAACTCGAGGCAGTGAAGACTTACCCTCTCCATCTCTTTGAAGTCATCATCTAGCTTGGTTCCCTCAGCTCCTCCAACTTTCTCGCTCACTTTCTGCAGAAAATAACCACATAGAAAATTATTAAAAATAGCCTCTTTTAAAAAGATGTGCTAAAAGTTTTAAGCACTTTCACAAACATCACCTCATGTGATCTCCCAGCCATTCTCTGATTTAAGGTAGTGAGAACTATTTTTCATAGGAGCAAACTATGTGGCTCAGAGTGTTTGAACAACAAAGATCATACACCTGGTAGGTATTGAAGCAAGAACTCAAACTTGTATCTTCTGATTCCAACCTCAGTGCTCTTTCTATCATATAAATTCCTAATTACTAACATTTTCCTCTTGGAAATTCTAAAGGATAACAGCATCATTCAATAATCATTTCCCTCTGATAAAGGATCTAAAATGCCACCTGGGTAGAAAATTGCTATTTCTTCAACCTATTCCTCAATGGGCTATTGAACAGATAATCACAAACATCTATCAAACTGTTATGAAAAGGGAAAAAACCCTCAGCTCAGCTAATCTTCAGATAAAAGGACTTAAATAATAATGTCTCATAAAGCTGTCTACACCTTTATGTACATAAGACAAACCATATGGAAAGCTGTTGAGGGCATTTCTTTGTTACTCAGTCATTTTCCACTAACACACATTTATATTTATAAATTAAAATATGGAAATTGTCATTTTCCACATGTAAAATTAATGTTCATAAAAATTAGATATTCTATTTTATTCTGAAATAATTATTCAAATTAAGGCCAGCAAAAAACGTACAAAAAAAATCCATGAATGATACTTTGGTTTCATCAAAGACACAAATACTAAATGCTAATGACACAAAATTTCATTCTCTTTAAAATACCCTAATTGTAGCCAGGCTAGGTGGCTCAGCCTGTAATCCCATGCTTTGGGAGGCTGAGGTGAGTGGACTGCCTGAGCCCGCGGGTTCAAGACCCACCTGGGCAACTTGGCGAGATCTCATCTCTACAATAAATCAAAAATTAGCCAGGCATGGTAGCGCGCGCCTGTAGTTCTGTCTACTTGGAAGACTGAAGTGGAAGGATCGCTGGAGCCCAGCAGGTCGAGGCTGCGGTGGCCGGGAGCGGTCACTGCACTCCAATCTGAGTGACAGAGTGAGATTCCAACTCAAAAAAAATAAATAAATAAAATAAAATACCCTAATTGTAAAGAAAGTTAGATGCTTTCCCCTAAGATGGCAATGTATTACATAAAGTTACCACACGCAGATATCAAAGTATGATTTTTAATTTTCTTCAGTAGCAGCTGGCCTGAGGGTCTTTGCAGAGGATTTCCACCATGGCCAACCTGCAGCGACCTAGGTCATCCCAGAGAGCTTGGTTCCCTTCCCTCTAAAGAGCTCCCTGGATAGCCGGCTCCATTTTCTGTCCATAGACACTCTGATATTCCCCTTCCTGGAAATATCAGGGTGTATTTCTTCCCTGTCTTTCTCTTAGTCCTTTACTCTTGCTTCCTGCCATTAAAAAAACCTTCACAAGAGACCTCTCTCACAAAATGTGAGAGTCGATATTCTATCATCACTCTAGCCCTGTATACCAGATGCCATCCATCTCACCCCATCAGTAGTAACAGCTGCAATATGGTGCAGTAGAAGAGAATGGCACGGACTAACTCCTTCTACTCCTTACTAGGCACTCAGATTGTTTATAAAAATTATACAGCATGATAACTACTAGAACCTATGCCTGAAACTACAAGTTACACAGTAAATCCTAGTTCCTGTCTCTCACCCATAAAGTGAGGTACTAAGATACTATATCTGCTTATAGTATCCTAGTTTCTCCCAGCAGTTTATTTAACTGTGCTTCATACTTTGAGAAGAAGCTAGCAACTTTCATCAACATAACACATCATGAGGTAGATACAGGTCAATGGTTCAGAGTGAAAGGCTAACAAAAACACATTAACATCTTTCATTTGTATCACAAGCACATACTTTTACTTGCAACTTGTATTTTTAATACATGTAACCTGAGAACTGTATAGAACAGATATTATTACTATGTTGCAGATGAGAAAATTGAGGGTTTCATAAATTACTTGTCCATAGTAGACATCTTTAGCTAGGAAGAGAAAGAACTAAGACTGAATGCAGGTTTTCCATGCCAACCCCAAGCTTCTTTCGCAAGACAGCTCTGAAGTGCTGTCCATGGTGCTGATCTTCTCCATCTGAAGTTCCTTTAGATTCAAATGGCCAAAAGTGGATTCACTACCTTCACTCTTGATCCTTGACCATCAGCCCTCTCACTTAACTTGTGGCCTGTTTGATGCTGACTATCACCTATTTTAGCAGTCTGCACAGATCCAGGCTTCATCTGCTATCAATACCATCTAATTAAAAGCCTGTACCAACTGTGATCTAGTCCAACACCCAACTTCACGGTCTGTATGTATTATTAAGGATTTTTACCAAATCACAAACTGGGGGGAAGAAGGAGCTAGAATTCAGTTTAGAACTTCCCAGTGGAATTCCAAGTGCAGTGACTTGACTAGCATGTTCATGTTTATGTTACTGAAAATCAGAAAGAGAAGAGGCCTTAGAGGTTTTTAATACCAAATTTTCCCTCTCACCAATTTTTTCCTCTCTCACACTGATTGCTCACCTCTCACTTTGCTCAATGACAGCAGTGTTAGCTCATATGTCAGTCCCTCTTGTGTCTTATTCTCGAAGTAAATGGTTTACCATTAAATGGGGCTGGGACACTCCAATCTAGTTGAACACCCACACAAATAAAGAAATATTTGTTCTAAACCCAAGATCAATTGCTGTCTTCTTTCTACATGACTGTTTCCAATGCCATGAAACTCACTCTATCCCAAGGTCCCATTTTTGCCAAAGAGGATCATTACAGATAGGCCTCTCATTTGATCTGTGTATAAGATATTTAATTTTATCTTTCAAATGGACACACAAAAATACATGTAACTGAGAAAATACATGTAATCACTCCATTTATACAGAATCCTGGTAACCATGGGTCAATCACATTTTGACCAACTCTAGAGAATGAAATATGGCCCTTATCAAAAACGCAAGAGCCTGTATCACACTTTCAATCATACATTTTTCAACTGAGAGTAATTTTAATTTCCCCCATTTTTGCATCCATCGACAGCTTAGCATTATAGTAGCTGGCTTGTTATATCAAATGAGTTACTGGGACCCACTGGCCATTAGCAATTCAGAACTAGTCCTGGAAACACACTGAGGTCAACTCATCAGTCTACTGGCTTCAATTATTTGGTTACGTGTGTGTGTGTGTGTGTGTGTGTGTGTGTGTGTGTGTGTGTGTGTGTTTTCAGAATAAAAGAGCAAAAGGGAAGGAGCAGGAGTGGGAGTAGGAGGAGCACATCAGTGAGGATGACAGCAAGAGAGATCATTTATCTTCCTACAAATGATGACATTTGAGCTGCTCTGAGAAAAAAAGTTTGCCAAATATAGTGAATAATGCTAGCAGTTAGATACTGATACTGGCCTGGTTGGTTGGTTGATAAAAACTTTTCTTATCTAATTAGATTCCTAAAGAAGAAAGTAATATTCAAAATGGCATCTATATTGCTCTCTGGGCTGTTTTTGCAAGTCACACAGGATTTGAATATATCAAGGCCCTGAATTAAACAATGGGTTAAATAACAACTGACTGATTCCTTAGGAGTATGACAAACATCTTCTCCCTTTCTTTAAATAACATTACTAAAACTTCCTTTTGTTTTATGCATAAAAATCAAGGTGAGGAATACAGCTTCCCTGGGTCCATTTGGCCAATAATGAAGAGCTCTGTTTTCCTAGTCAGGTACCATTTATTTTGTGCTATTATTTTCCAGCAAGGTGCCACCTAAATCTAAGATTTTTGCAGTACTGAATATTTCCTGATGCTGCTAAGTATGCTTTGACTAATATATTGCCATTTGAGAAACTGATCACTTATTTAAATGAACATCAGCAAAAGGTATTTGAATCAAAAGGAACAGTACAAGTGATCCGATATTTCCCCCCGTGCCACCTAAAAACCTAAACATTGAGGATTCAAAACCCTCACTGGCACCCACTTAGTACAAGAATGAGAGCGTATACTCCTAATCTCATCTACTATTATACTTCCCATACACTTTGTATTCCAACCAAACCAAAGATATCATTTCCCTCTATTTCATTCTTCACTGTACTTCTCACAAAAGGTATCCAGTAAAGATGTATTAAACTGAACTGCAGTGTATTTCTGTGGATATTAATATTAATATGACAGAGAGGTAGCATCAAGTGAGGCAAATAAGACTAGTCACCTCACTCTGGGATGGTATTTCAAAAACCATAACTTTCAAAAAAGAAAATAATACAATCAACTCACATTTTTAATTAAAAGTCTTAATTTTGCATCTGCAGTAATGGTTGTCCCATGCTGCTTTTTTCCCCCACATACCAAATAAGAAAAATGTCAAAGAGGACCGGAGGCAACAGACAGCTTAAATTAATGGTCATGCTTCCCAGCCCAAAGGATGCTGTATACTCCTTTCCAACAATGACTCATCCTTCCCCATTTAGCAGTCACCTCTAGGCAGAAGACATTTTATCCTGGAGCTGCATCTCTGATTCCTCCTAGCATTGCATTTCATTTACTGAAGGCTTAAGAGCCAACTACTGTGTCTCCAACTGCCTATTATAAAGGTCTCCTTGAAAATTACATTATCAGTGAAATTCAATAGATGTGAGACCAAATGTCTTCCCATATCCCACACCTGAAAAGGTATTTACCTCCCAATTTTCCTGTTTGTGTTTGGCTGAATCTTCCACTAATCATCATACAATGCTAGGTTTCCTTACCATCCATCAAGTGTGCCATGCTTATTCCCTCTGCTTTGTACCTGGACCTATCTCCCTTTTCTACTCTTTAAATTCTAATGACTGTCTAAAGTGCCCGCCCAGATCTCACCTTCTCCATCTTCTATGTGACTGCCCATCCTAGCTGAAAATTATCAGATTTCTTTTGCACACTTAAGGAGACACATCA